TTTCACACAGAGGAAACAATACAAAGAAAACAGGATAGTTTTTCATATAAGTACAGTCCTGGCCAAAAGTTTTGAGAATTACACAAATATTAACCTTCACAAAGTCTGCTGTTTCGTTGTATTTAGATCTTTTTGTCAGATGTTACTATGGTATAATGATGTATAATTACAAGCATTTCCTAAGTGTCAGGCTTTTATTGACAACTACATTATGTTTATGCAAAGAGTCAATATTTGCAGTGTTGGCCTTTCTTTTTCAAGACTTCTTCAATTTGCCCTGGCTTGCTGTCAATCAGCTTCTGGGCCATAGATTTTTTTTTTAAAACTGTCCATTTCGGTTTTGGTTTTCAGCCAAATGCATCCTGAACAATTTGCAGCTTTGAAGCTCAGTAAGTTGTAACATGACTCTGTATTACTAGCAGCGCACGCAGTGAATGACGAAAGTAAGGCTTCCCACCTGTTAGCGAGGTGTCTCATCACACAGCGGAAGCAAAAGAATGTTACATTACTTCCGCTTTCAATGTGATACATACTGTCACTTTCACACCTGCAAATCAAGCAGTGTTTCCATATTTTTTCTAGCCCTTGTATTTTAGAGAAGTTATTTCTTTCTTTTCAATGTAAGAAGATGACTATTGTGAATTGTAGTGATGCTAACACAGGTAGGTTGTTTCACTTAATATGTATCTCTAGCCAATTTTCCCAAGTCATCTTCCAGGACAGCTTCACGTGAGAGATAGGCTCCTACCACCAGGAAACTCCTGATCCACTTTTTCTCCCATAAGTAGCCTCTCTCCACAGCCGTAACTGGAGCCCCCCCTACAAACAGAGCCGCGCCAAGGGCTGGCTGTGGCTAGAATGGAGGCGGATCTGTCTGAGCTGGGGGAGGCCAGCAACAAGGTAGGAGCCTGTCAGCTGGCACGACCCCCCCCCCCCCCCCCCCCCCATACCCCTCATGCTTCCTCCTATCTGTCTCAGGCAGGGAGGCCCGAGGAGGTACAAGGCCCTCCTTCCCCCTCTCCCTCCCTCTTCTCTCCTCCCTCTTCCCTCTCTCTCCAGCACCTCAGGGATCTCGGGTCTGCCAGTGGGTGCACGCTCGGTGAAGGGGGATATGGGAGGCCTATACCTTGTGTCTCCTTGTCTTTAGATGGGCCCACTGGAGGAGGATGGGAAGGAAAAAAGAGGCTCTTTGTGAGACAAAGAGAAAGTGCGCTACCTGCAAACAGAAACTTGCTAGCGCTTGGAAAAAGCAGCTGTGCCAGGAGTGCATCGATAAGCTGATCAGAAAAAGAGTTAGGGTCCCTCTTCAAAGATTTCCTACAAAACATGACTCAAGAGATGTCAAAAACCTTTCAAAACTTTAGGGAACAGATGCAGGAACCAGCCCTGGATATGCATCAGCCCGACACATCAGGCATTACCCCACAGGTTAAAAGAGAAAACTGGATCCGGGCACTGTCGTGGTCCGAGAAGAGGAACTTTCTGGCACTTACAACTCGGCGGAAGGCAAGATGGAAGACCAGGATCACAGTTCAGAAAGGTTCCTTTTGCCAGTAGAAGATGCAAAAGGCCTCTTGAAAATAATCTACGACACTCTAGACTTAGAAGAGGAACAACTGGTTCTCTCTCTGCACAACCAGCTATATACTGTGCTACAAAAGAGAAGCGGCCTCACGTTCCCGGTCCATTCCACCCTATGGTCTACCATAAAAAGGGAATGGTAAGAGCTGAAAAGGAAAGCCTTTTTTCCTAAAAATCTTAAAAGGCGATTTCCGTTTAAGGAGGAAGATGCGTCTATGTGGAAGTCTTGCCTGAAACTGGATGCTCCCCTCTCGAAGATTTAGAAATTCACAGATTTATTTTTCGAAGACGGAGGTTCCCTAAAGAACCCAATGGACTGCAAGGCTGACACATTTCTCAGAAGAGTGTGGGAAGCGTCCGCAGTAAGCTTTAAACCAGCAATAGCAATAACCTGTGTTTCCAGAACCCTAGACATATAGTTGGGCCAGCTCCGCTCTCACCTTGAACAAGGCATGCCGGCTGAGGAAATTCTTAAACCGTTACCAGTTTTGGAAAAAGCAGTGGCCTTTATTGCAGACGCATCAGCTGAAACCATCCAATATTCAGTAAGATCAACTGCACTCATAAACTCAGCCCGAAGAGCTATTTGGTTGAAATCCTGGCAGAGGGACATCGCTTCCAAATCCAGACTTTGCGGCCTGCCCTTTGAGGGAAAGCTCCTCTTCGGGCCAGAACTGACTTTGGTCCTCGAGAGGTCTGCCGACAAAAGGAAAGGATTTCCAGTCCCCAGCAGGCAAGCGGGATGGAACTTTTTTTCCCAACTACACTCCAGAATGATACAGGATCACGTCCTCTCCCACTGGGGACGGCAGCCAAGCGTCTCTGGATTCCAGCATTCACTTCATGCGCAAAGTGAGAGAGTCATTGGAGTGGTGGGGAAACAACACGCTGGAAGCCAGGAGAAGATAGAAACAATCCAACCCAACAAAAATCACCACAGACGCAAGCATGGGGGTGTGGGGCGCAAACATGGAGGGTTGCCTGACCCAGTTCAAGTGGGACCCAGAAATCGCAAAAAGGTTATCAAACTTCAGGAAATTACTGTCAGTTTTCAAAACGCTTATGGCCTTTCAGGAGACAATAGAAGGTAAAGAGATTCAGATCCTGTTGGACAACATGATGGCCGTCGCATACTTGGTACAGGGAAGAAGGCACGAGGTCCCCAAGAATAATGGAATTGGCCGAAACCCTCCTGAGCTGGGCAGAAAGAAACCTAAAATCTATTGCGGCGGTCCATTTGAAGGGAGACCTAAACCTGTTAGCAGGCTGAGCCGAGAGGAAATCAACCAGTCAGAATGGTACCTCAGCTGCATAGCATTTGCCCAAATCTGCAGCAGATGGGGCACTTTCTCCATAGATTTATTTGAAGGCAGAAGTACTTTCCTAGTTTTGTATTCCTTCTGCTTGCAAAGAGACTCCCAGTGTGCGGGGACAGAAGCACTGGCCCAGCCATGGCAGGGGGACCTCTTTCACTTTTCCACCATTGAGACTACTACCAAGAGTGGTACAGAAAATACAGATGTCTCAGGCCAGAGTCATCTTGATCGCTCCATTCTTGCCCAAAAGGTCATGGTTCTCCTTCCTGAAGAAGCTGAGCTTAACAGACCCATGGACGATACCACCCACGAACGACATGCAGGGGGCAGTGGTACACCCACACCCGGAAAAGCTGTCCATGGCTTTTGAGTGGAGTAGGCTAGCTAAAAAAAAGCTTATCAGAGAGCGTGGTCCCCACCATCTTGGATGGGCGGAAAAAGTCTACAAATGCCATTTACGACAAAATCTGGAGGCAGTTTTCCTACTGGAGAAATGGGGAACGAGTCGTCAGGAGCTTCTATCCTAAATACAGTACTAGAATTCCTTCAAGCTGGGGCAGACAAGAACTTAGTTGCCAATACACTCAAAGTGCAAGTAGCGGCCCTGTCTAACTTTCTAGAGTTGAAGTTAGCGGAGGATCCCCTGGTGGTCAGATTCCTGAGGGCTTTCTCCAGACGCAGAGTCCCGTGCGTGACGAAATACCCTCTCTGGGATCTAGGCACAGTTTTAAAAAGTTTCCAACAGGAGCCTTTTGAACCCTTGGGAAAATGCTGTCTCAGGCACTTGACCCTCAAAGCCACCCTCTTAGTAGCCCTAGTTTCTGCTCGCAGAGTCAGTGAACTGCAAGCTCTGTCAGTGATAGAGCCTTACTGCACAATCCTGTTGGATAGGATTATCCTCCATATGGAACAGACATTCCTACCAAAGGTTGCATTGCATTTGCATCGAACACAGGAAATTGTAATACCATCCATTTCTGGGAGCCCGAGCAACGCCAAAGAGAGACAACAACAAAATTGATGTAAGAAGATGCTTAATCGCGTACATCGAGCGCTCTAAAGCATGGAGATGCTCCTCCGGCCTCTTCTTCTTATTTCAAGGACCAAGGAAGGGATACATTGCCTCTATAGGCACCATCGCAAGATGGATAAAAGAAGCCATCTCAGAAGGATATAAAATCGCGTCACTGGCACCACCACCTGGCTTGAAAGCGCACTCGACTAGGGCCACCGCAGCTACATGGGCAGAGAGCTGACGCCTCCCCCGGACTGATTTGCAGGCCGCAACATGGTCCAGCTTCAGCATCTTTGCCAGGTACTACCGGTTTGACCTGATCGCCAACAAGGACCAGGCGTTTGGCAGGAAGGTCTTGCAAGCTGCAGTCCCGCCCTAATGTACGTATTCCTACTCAATCCTTCACGTGAAGCTGTCCTGGAAGATGACTTGGGAAAACGCAGTTATTTACTAGTTAACTGCATTTCCAGGAATCTTCCAGGACAGCGTAGCTCCCTCCCGATTACTGTATAGTTACATGCTGGTGTTCGTCATTCAATGGACTGGATATATATTGTTCCTACTGTTATCTTTATGCTTTATCCTAGGCCTTCAGTTTTATTCCTGTACTGAGGGTCCCCTGTGGAGAGAGGCTATTTATGGAAGAAAAAGTGGAACGGTTGTTTCCTGGTGGGAGGAACCTATCTCTCATGTAAAGTGTCCTGGAAATACAGTTAACAGGTAAATAACTGCGTTTTTCTTTTTTTCGCTTTTGCTATGTGTGTGTGTCCTAAACATTTAAAAAGATTTCTGTTCTCTGTGATTTAGGGAGTCTTCCTGTGAGATGTAAATAATTGGAGGGGAGCAGGGCAGAAGTATTCATGCTATGTTTTTTTTTTTTTCTGGGTACTACACAGAAGAGTGTATTTTGTTATGATCAACTGTATCCAAAATGTAAACGTTTTGTAAAACTCAAACAAATGTATAAAGTACTTTTGCTTGCATGTCAACATATTTTAAAAAAGTAGTGATGTCATGGTGATATCTGAGTGACTTAGTACCTTACAGATGAATTAGTTTGGTGAATTTTACATTTTATCATTTCACAGATTGAACAAAATCATTTATTGGGATTTGCTGCTGTGGCTGTTGCGGTGCTGTGCTCAGGATTTGCAGGTATATGTAATTTTCAGTTGTATCTCACATAAGTATAAGACTCTGTGTTGTTGATTTACTAAAACTGGAGAGTGCAAAATCTGGTGCAGCTGTGCATGCTAGCCAGTCAGTTTCTAACTTCAGCTTTGACAAAACCTGGAAGCTGATTGGTTTCTATGCAGAGCTGCAGCAGATTTTGCACTCTCCAGTTTTAGTAAATCAACCCCTGTGTGTTGCTATTGTAAATTCTGAGATATGGTATAATTTTGTTTCATACATTTTCTGGATTTACATTTTAGTATTGACATTTAATTTGGTTGTTCTCTGTAAAAGGAGAAATTTGAGGTGGGGAAAAATGTTGCCCAGGTTTCATAAGAACATTTTTGCTGAACGTTAACTGGTTATTTTACTTTAACAAAAACACTGCATAATCAGTGCAGCATTCTTGTGTTGTATGCAAAGGCGTAACCTCACATACCACATTTACATTTTCCCCAATTATCCACCCTGACCCTTCAGTGGAGAAATGGCTCCACCCATCTGTAAGAATCACAAGATCAGAGCGTTTAAAAGTCTCCCAAGAGCGATAACAGTAATTTCTTGTGTTTTCCTGCCTCCTGCAAACACTTCTTGCACCAGCTTCTGGTTTGATTTGTTTTTTGTTTTCTCTAGTAGTTCAGCTGCTGAGGTCAGAGCCCTCCATCGACAGAAAAGGCTAGGATTGCAAGTCACTGGGACTTAGAAATCCTAAGGCAAAGCAGCTGGAGAAAGGGTGCCTCCTGTAGGGTAGGTTTTGACTTGCATAGGTACTATCCTGTAAAGCGTTTCCTTTGGGGAGTGTACACAGTGGTTCCAGACAGGAGGGAGGTAGAAGGTGATAGGTCCTGTCTTGCTGAGGTATGCACGCCTTCTAGATTTAAGTGACTGTGCATCATCGATGGATGTTAGTTGGTCCAGATCTCCTCCACTGTGCTATGAGCTCTGCTATGGAGGAACCAAAAGCAGGAGCTCCTGGATATGGATCGGTCAGTAGGGGTATTTGAGGGTTGGTGCACTTTGGAGTTATTTTGCACTCCCTTATGGCATGGGTACACAGAGTGAAGGTTATGTGGTGGTGTAAATTCAGTACCTTTCCCCATTCTACCCCTGCCTTTAGGTTGACTACTATGGGCTGTTTCAGCTGTGTCCCCTTGCTGTCTTACAGACCAGAACTCAGAACAGACCATTGGGGAGACCAAAAAGAGGTTTAACAGTTGTGGCTGTAAGCTTTCAAGCTTGTGGAAGAAACGCCTGTGTCAGTCGTGTCTTGACTAGGTTGTCGGGGCAGAGACGTTTTTGGTTTTTTTTTTTTTTTTTTTTTTTTTAAAGGTCTGATGGGCATTCTAAAGCAGAAAATTCCCTCCACATTTCGGTTTTTTACATTCAGTTCTGGAATACTTTAATTAGTATCCTAAGGTTCCCCAGTCAGTGGGACCTGCACAATCATCACCCAAATCCCCATTGCATGAGAGCCTGATTAGGTCAAGGTAGAGGTGGTCTGTCAGGTGAATTGTCAGAAGGCAAAGAACATTTCTCAGAACTTCACTTACGGAGGATAGGAAATTGAAGCAAGGGGAAATTTCTGTACTTCAAGTTATATGGTCTGGTCAAATAAACTGAAGAACTAATAAAAGTGATATATTCCAGAGAGCAGATCCAAGAGTAGACAAAGGTCAAACCAGTGCAAGACCAACTGTACATGGGTTTGGAGGAAACCAAAGATAGATGTTTAACTGTGCACCAGTTGGTAAAGAATATTATTTTCAAAGAATGGAAAGACCCAGAAAATAGGCTAGTTTTTACAAAGGCTCTGAAAAGAAGATTGACCTTTGATGAGAGTCTTCAGGATTGCAGGTCAAGTGCCTTAAATTGGGCACCTTTTTCACCATGGTGTCCAAAATATTTGATCTCTCTTTTGAGGGCATGAGACAATTGAAACTGCCAATGAACAGAAAGGTGGATGTTCTGTATTTAAAAAAATAAAAAGGCATTGGAATTATTTTCTACAGCTTGTAAACAGTTGCCAAGTCCTGCATCTCTAGGAAAATTAATTTCTGTATTGAACAGCTACACATATTTCTAAACCTCATCAGAGGAGATGCTATTAAGTCTATCTAGTTAATCGCCAGATCAGTAGCAATTATTACTGACACCACAGCAAAGGCCGTATGCATGTTCACCTTTACCCAACTGCCTTAGTAAATTCTATATACCAGAATGGCTTGGGCAGGAAAAGTAGCATCCAAAAACATACTATGTGGCCTTCCATTCAACAGTAAGCTGATTTTCAGGCTGGATTTTGAAAAGCTATATTAAAAATTGGCAGAAAGGATTTCCCAACAAGCAGCATATGTCGAGCAACAGCCAAAAATAACCAAAGGGCACAACAAACAGATAAAAAAGGAACTAGGAAAAAAGTGGCCCTCATCAAGGGCAAAGAAAAATCGGGTATTGCTGTTTAACCCTACCGATACAGTTGCAAGACCACAATGATGCTCAGTGAGGCGTTGGCTAAAAAATCGAGGGGTTTCTTTCACCAATGGGAGGAGCTCCAAGTTTTATTTATACTAAATTTTAACGCAGAGGGACACAAGCTGGAGCTGATGAATCCAACCTCTAGATCACTTCATCACCAACTTCTCCTAAAATTAGACTATGAGCCAGGAGCTCCTTTGTCAGCAGATAATCAGGTCAGAGAATATTCTCATATCTTTATTCTGAAGTAACCCTCAAAAGTTTTGTTTAATATCCAATCAAATGAAGGAAAATTTTAAAGTGGCGAGATACAGAAGCTTCAAAATGAAGAGTATACAGTAAGAAACCGTCTTCCCCCATACTGGCAACCTCTGGCATAAAAGATGCCTATCTACACAGGGGAGATAGATGGAAAGAAAGAGACCAGAGGAGGTGGTGAGGGGAAATGGGGAGGCTTTTGTGACCAGGCGCATGACAACCATGGTTTTGGGGGGGGGGGGGGGGGGGGGGAGAGAGATGTGTTCAGAGTGAGAAAACAGAATGATCCAGGTTGATAAGGTGACTCTATTCCAGCCATGGGGACCACACTTACGTTAAGGCATCTTTTGCAATAGGAATTAGTTTCTTTTCACATGTGGAGAAGTCAGACTAAAACCATTGCACAGAACAGGTACGTATGACATGTTTGTTATTTAAAAATATGGGTTTACAATCACTTTAAGTCAGGTTTCTGTAAAATGCTCAGGTAGGGCAATGAGGTAGGCCAGGTAAAGTTGTAATTCTCATGGAGATGATGGGGACTCAAGGGTAGATTTAGGACTTTGGATTTGGCTTTGTTGATCTGAAGACTTGAGATAGTTGTAATGGTGCAAGTTGGGTTACCATGTACTGTATATAAAATTTGTTTAGCCCAGTGTAACTGTGCCTCTGCTACATCTGAAAGACACAAGTTTAGCTGAGTTTTAAAATCAGACCACAAATTTTCTTTGAGCTGGGGTGGACCCTGACTTAGAAGAAGTCAAATTTATGTCTGAAACGAGTCGTGGTCTTTCTGGGTTACCTGCTGGATTCAACCACACTGAATACTTTCCTCACGAAACAGCAGATGTCCAAGATTTTGGACCTGGCAAGATGTCAGTGGAATTTCTACACACTATTAACAAGGAAAGCAATGTCCATTTCAGGCAGCCTGATGTTGGCTAATCCTGGGGTCAGACTAACAGTTCGTTCACACCATGGTGCAGAGACGTCTGTTTTTCTGCACAAGTTCTGCAAGGGCACAACTTGATCAACTGTTCTCTATGTTCCCTGTTCTCACCACAACACTAGTATCACATGCAGATTTTCTTCTGCGCAGGAAGCTGCAACATGCATAAAACTCATTAAAATGCACATGAAAACTGCTATAAACTGATGTCCTCAAGTGAAATCTACAGGTTAGTGTGAACAAGCCCTTCCTTGGAGACTTTCTCGAGTTGGACCCAACTCAGAGAAGAATTAGCCCTGCACCCAAAGGTGTTTCAGCTCTTAGTCAAGACTAAGGCTACTGCAAAAATTTCAAAGTAAAAAAGATTTTTCTCTCTGAACCCACAAGGGAATCCAGTGGCGTTGGATGTGCTAGCCCACCAGTGGGAATTTGCTTTAGTATATACTTTTCCTCCTATACATCTTCTGAGGAAGGTGATCAAGAAGATCAACATGGACCATTGCAGAATCATCCTAATTTCTTCCCTTTGGCTAAGGGGGGGCCTGATTTAGATCCTCCAGAAAAAGGCCAAAGGACTGCCTATATTGTTTTACCGAACGCGGGGGAATCCAAAGAACAAAGGTATACCGCTCAGGCAAACAATCCAGATTAATCCACAACAGGTGCAGGCTCTGGCTCGCCACCACAAACGATGCAATAGGAAGAAGGGTCAGCCGCACACCGGAGGATAGATGAATATAGTGTGTATTTATGTTTTTAGTGTGTATTGACTGATAGGACACACAAAAAAAACAGGATATGAATACAGGACCTGTTAACGCACTTCACTCGATCTTGTGCTTAATCATAACCGGGATTGGCTATAGCTAATTTTGTTTTAAAATGAACCTGCCACAAAACTTAATGCTTCAGACATGGTATATGATGGGAAATAAAAGCATAAGTAGAGGTCACCTTCGGTGAAAGCAGCATATTCATGTTTTGAGCTGTATGTTTTTTAATGTCTACCTTTCTCATCTGTCCTATGTGACAGATTCTGTGTTTCTATGTAAGTGAAAACACATTCAAAAATAAATTGATACAAAAAAATGGGTTGCTAATGTGGTTTTGTTATACTCAGGGTATGACGTGTGCTTACTTCACCACCTTATGAGTAATTGACTTGGAACAAGTGTGCAGCCAGTGAAATTTCAAAGTGAACTCCCGTCTTGTGTCATTAGTGACAAAACCATATAAAAAAAACCAGGATCAGGGTAATAATCTTGGTCAGCAATGGTAGCTCTCATAGTTTTAGTCTCATAGTTTTAGTCCCTTTTAAAGTGGAACTTTACTGTTTGATGAATCCCATGAGCTCTTGCCATAATGTGCAAGCATCATAGTGTATTTGGAAATTATCTTGACATACCTCCTAGATTGTAAGCTCCAAGGAGCAGGGCCCTCAAACCCCTCTTTTATTGTTACTGTACTGTCCCGTGTACTGTCTCCCATTATAATGTACAGCGCTCAGCAAACCGTTGGCACTATATAAATATTGTATAATAATAATGTGATGCTCTCCTCCATCCCTGCTGCTGCCTTCTTCTCCAGTGTTTCTTCTGGGTCCCAAATTTTCTTTCTTCCCTATCAAATGGACTGGGATGATCTAACTCCCACACATGCACATGGGATTTACTTCATCCTGTATCCATACAGATGCCAAGATTGTCCGATAAACCACAGCAGACAGGAAAAGAGAGCTTTTATGGCAGCAGAGACGTAAAGAGGTGTGAAAACATACCTACTTGAAAGGCAGTCCTGGGCTTCCTTAGAAAATAGAAACCAGTAATAACTCAAGTCATTCAGTCACTATCCACCCAGAAATGAAATGTCCGTTTTAAGTGGATTTATGCCTTTGTTCAAAAAAATGCTCCCTCCCTGCAGAGCCATTTTCCTCCTCTGGTCCCTGCATTGTCTGCATTCCAGCTGGTAAAAATCTGGTACGGGGCTGCCTGTGACTGCACACTAATGCCCCCTTGACTTAAATGTTTTTTTTTTTTCCTGCAGTAGGTGTATGCCCCATTTAGTGCACCTTTTATTAGTTTTTTTTTACCAGTAGAGATGCAGACAGCGCAGGAGGTTACAGCCTCCAAAGAAGCTAAATATGGGCCTGCTAGTAGAAGGGGGTGTTGACACAGCTGAATGTATTGTTGGACCATAAAGTGGTGCTTTGGGGGGTTGAACAAGTCAAATACTTAAAATTTAACATTAGTTAAGAATACTGAGAATATAGAATAAAACAAACCATACACATGTCTGATGATCCTTTTGTTCTGTTGACTATTTTTTCTTTACCAGGAGTGTATTTTGAGAAGGTGTTGAAGAGTTCAGACACTTCCCTATGGGTGAGGAACATCCAGATGTACATCTCTGGCATCATAGTGACACTAGCTGGTGTCTTTCTTTCTGAAAGAGAAGGTGTTATGGAAAAGGGATTTTTCTATGGCTACAATTACCTTGTCTGGTTTGTAATTTGTAAGTACAGCCTCATATACTAGCAACATATCTTGTTAAATAGTCCTGCCTGCAGAAGTACAATTTTTCATATTTAACATGAAAAATGTGATTCAGCTGTTTGGCAAATGCTTTAGCCTCTTGGCCAAATTGTTAGTTATATGGCATTTGAGCAGAATTTATGCAACTTTTGTCAGTATTCCTATAGACATAATATATCAATACTGTTGTAAAGTGTAAGTAGTCTTATCAAATGATATTCAAATCTGTATTTTTTTTCTATTCTGTTTTGTTTACTCTTGCATTTTCTGACCTTATTCATATATTGATTATGATTTATGATACACAATTGATAATTGCTTTTTTTTAATGTTCTTCTCACAGTCCTGGCTAGTGTTGGTGGCCTTTATACGTCCGTTGTTGTAAAATACACAGATAACATCATGAAGGGCTTCTCTGCAGCTGCAGCCATTGTCATATCAACCATAGCATCAGTGTTGCTGTTCGGCTTACAGATAAGTATGTTATTCAAAACCTTTTTTTTTTGCAGCTGATAAACATTTTCTTTCTTTCTTCATGATTATAGTGTTTTTCCAAACAGCATAATGTACTCAATGCCATTGGCTAAATGAAACCATTTTCTTGCTATTAATTTTGTTACAACCGTTGTGTAGAAGTGGAGTTCTTGCTCAAGTGTTACATACCTTTGCTTAAAGGGTATGTAAACCGTAACAATCTGATTTAGTCCTTGTTTATCTTAACAGTAATCTTGTTACCAAACTACTTGTGCTGTCTTATCATTTACACTGTTACTCTATGAGTAAGGGCTTGTTTGACTGAAAACACGTTAGTGTTGCTTGTATGCTGGAACTATTTTATACTCCGCTTTCAAATAAAACTTCTACTAATTCATCTTCACCTTGTTGCTAATCCTATATGATTTGGTTCCCAACTATCTCTTAGGGCCACAGAATAATTTTCCTCTATATTATGGGGAAGAGGTGAAGGGAGGGGTTTCTGTAGTCATGTCCTAGAGTGACAACGTTGCTTGTCTTTGGATATAGTACAATAAGAGAGTGTTGCATCCTTGGGAACTGGGAATGTGTTACTGGAATAATCACCAGGGAAAAAGGAACAAATGTAGCCATCTCATCTAAGGACTGCTAAACTGCAGTATTATCATTTTTCTACTTTTCGAAAATCCTTTTTTGTTACATCCATTCTGGTTGCACTGCCACCTTCAGGAGTTTGGGACAGTGACAAACAAAAGATGCTAAGCTAGCCCCTGTATAATCCTGCTTCTAACTGTTTATGCCCAAGTTTTGTGAGCATGCAGCACACAAGGCAAATAACACAGAGGAGAGTGGCCTGTCTCTGCTAATGGACTTCAAAGGACATGGAAATGAAGACGTTTTTTTTAAACAGCAGAACATTTCAAAAGCAGTCAATTTGAGCAGTGGGCAAAAGCCACTTTGAAATCTGGAGATCATATGGCAAGAATATCTGAAGGAATCTGTACCTGAAGAAGCATAGATGAAAAAAAAAAGACCAAACAATTTGGAAATTGCCACAGAGTAAAAAACAGACCTACTATGCCCAATAGGGAGTAAAAAAAAAATTGACAACTGCAGGAAAGGCAAAACACCTAGCATACCTAACCCTTAACCTCAGGAAAAGGTAGCTTGGATTATATAGCACATGTCTAAGGAAAAGGTCAACTGGCCAACAGCATAGGTTATATTGAATATTTCTGACCCTTGACTTCAAGGAGGAGAAAAGGTCTATAGAAAGATAAGATGGTACCTGATGGACAACAGATAAATTAAAGGGTTACTAAACCCAGGACCCTGCATTTCACTATATCTAGTCCTCCCACAGTACACAGAAACATGGAAATGCAATTATTTTAGTAAATCTAAACTGCTAAATACCTTTTCTCATCAGCAGTTAGAGCAGTCTTGTGACTTCAGCAGAGCACTGGTTTTAAAGCTTGTAGGAGGAGTTTTATTTCTGCTGTAGGAGGATGCAAAACCCCTGATCTCTGTCTAGACAGTGCTGAATTGGCCCTGTGCTGAATCACAGGCACTCTCCCAAGAAAAAAAAAAACCTCTTTAGCTTTACACACTAAATCTGAGCATGTTCAGAAGGGCTACAGGGTTCAGTCTGTGTTATCAGTGTGGGCATTTTTTTTTTTTAATTTAAATATTTATAATTTTTTTCAAAATAATTACAAACACTTTGATCATATTCACAATAAATTATACATAGCTATTTTCTTATTACCTTTCTTTTCCCCTCTCTTAAAACATTTCCCCCTTCCCCCCTACTCTTTTAATCCTCTATATTGTGCAGGTAACCAAATAATTCTATTCAAATTAGTTCCACTATGTACAGTTTTCAATTTTTACCCAACTTTTCCCCTCTAAATTAAACAGTTCCAATCAAAAATTCTCCCTAATATTACTGCTTTGTAATATCTCTTAATATCTGGAACTCCCAATCTACCCTTCTCTTTATCTCTACCTAATATTCCATAGGACACTCTCGGTTTTTTATTCCTCCCAAATGTATCTTATTATTCTTCTTTTAATTACCTTGAAAAAAGCTGCTGAAGTTTAAATTGGGGTCATTTGAAATCTATATAAGATTTTAGGTACGATTATCATTTTTACCAAGTTTATACGTCCTATCCATGATGGGGATTCATCCTCTAATGTTTTTAATTCCTCCTCAACTTCGTTTAATATTGAAATATAGTTTAATTTATATAAGTACTTATATGCAAGCAGTGAGGTCTTACTCCTAAATATTGTATATCTTTCTTTCCAGATGAAAGGGTATCCTTTTGTATTTTCTCTTTTTCACCTTTTGGAATATTTATATTTGAATCTCAGTTTTTGTTGGGTTAATTTTTAAATATTTGATAATTCCCCGTATTCCTTCAGCGACTTATTAAGTTTGGGAGTGTTATCCTGGGATTGCCCACATAAAATAGCAAATCATCTGCAAAGGCCGCCACTTTGTGCTCTATGTGCTTCTATCTGAATTCCCTTTATAATCTCTATTCTTCCTTTTTGTAGACAACAAGGGCTCCAATGACATAACATACAACAAGGGGGACAGTGGGTTGTCCCTGTCTATTGTTCCATTTGACATCCAATAGGCTTGTTCTTTCCCCATTTACTATAATAACTGCAGAGGGTTCCCTAAAACAACTTTCAAATCCATTCCCTCATTCTAGCTCCAATTTCCAGGGCTTCTAAGGTGTCCATCATGAAGCCCCAGTCTACTCTATCAAAGGCCTTTTCAGCATTGATCGAAAGAACCACCGCCGGTACCTCCCCTTTTCTAAATAAGCATCAGGGATCTCAACCCATTGTCCCCTACCCTCCCTCCCTGGGAGAAAACCCACCTGGTTCCCCATGTATCCATTCTGGCATAAGCTCTTTCAACCTGTTTGCTAAGACCTTAGCATATAGCATGGTGTCTGAGTTCAGCAATGAGATTGGCCTTTAGCTAGAACACTGTGAAGCGTCTTTTCCTTTCTTATGTAACAACACCACATGAGCCTGTAGAGATTTTCTCTCCTCATATCCATCTCTCACTCCCAGAGCATTCATATATTTCTCCATCTTAGGAATTTAATAACTCGCTATTTTTTTTATAATACCCTCACCGTGTAGCCATCCGGTCCTGGACTTTTTCCCGTCTCTGTGCTTTTTAACGCTACTATTTATTTTACTTCTTGTGTAATTTCTGCTTCTAGGGCATTTATTTGTGCTTCTTTTAATTTCGGTAAACCCGCATTTTTTAAATATTTTCCTTCCTTTTTTCCTGTTTTTCAGTTTCCATATTATTTACTGAGTCATGGGGGTTGATATTATAACAACTTTTTATAATTTAATCCATAAACACCTTTGCAATTTCCTTGTTAGAAATAAACCAGTTCTCCTTTGGTTGCTTGCTTTTTTTTTTCTATATAATTCCTATTTTTCTTTTTCCTTAAGGCTCTCATTAAATGTTTTCCTGGTCTATCTCCCCATCTATACCTCTCTCTTAGCACTTTGTTATAGACTCTCCTTCTCTCCTCTCCTCCTCCATTAAAGTCTCTAACTCTTCTTCCTTTATTATCTTCTGCTTAATTTCTTTTGCTATACTATTTTTATGTATCTGTTCCAGGTCAAATATATCCTTTAAGAGCCCACTAATTTTCTCTCTTCTTTCTTGCCCCAATCGCAATCAGATACCTCTATATATATGCCTTATTGAGACTCCCACACTGTAGCTAACGACACATCATTTCTGTCTCGTTCTCTCTAAAAAATCTCTCAATTTCTTTCCCAATCTTCTGTGCAGTATCCTTATCCAGGAGAAGTGCCTCGTTCAACTTCCATCCTACACACACCTGTTTTCCCCTTCCCCATCCCATCTTCAATACAACAGGGGCGTGATCCGAAATAGTCATTGCTCTTATTTCTACTTCAACCATTAACTCAATAAATCGATGTTCTATCAATATGTAGTCCTACCTCGAATACATCTCATGTGCATTTGAGAAGGAATGTATAGTCTCTGTTCTTTCATATGCATAATTCTCCATCTGTCCACCAATTGAACTCATGGATTGCCTTCTTTAATAATCTCAGAGACCTACTCCCATCTTGCTGCACAGAAGAAGTTGTATCTTTTTGTGGTCCATACAAAAAATTTAAATCCCCAGCCAATATCAAACAACCCTTTTTAAAATCCATTAATTTTTTTAGCACACCTTTCAAATATATCTCCGGCATTCTTATTTGGACAATATATTGTTAGCTACTGTACACTCCACATCCTGCAGTTTACCCTTCAGAAACAGATATCTCCCCTCTGGGTCCACTTTTCTATCCTCCAACTCAAACCTTATATTTTTTTGCGAACCCTAATTGCCACCCCTTTTTGCTCTCCTTCGGGAATCTGCATAATACCATCTTGGATAATATCTAGATTTTAACTTAACCTTAGATTCTATCTAAAAAATGTCTCTTTGCAAAAAAAAACCACTGAAGATGCTTTATGGTGAAGTTCTTTAAATAACTTAAATCTCTTCCAGGACAATTCAACCACTTTACATTGTAAGTGATAACTTGTAGTTCTTCCATCTATCTATGTCGCTCCTCTTTCACTTCCATCTCTCCTCCTCTTTTCCCCCTTTGCTTTTGTACCTCCCTCAATCCTGCAGAGTGTTAACCCTAATGCCCCACCCCCCTACCTTTGATTTAATACTTGGGGGTCAAACTCCACCGCCCATGGACAGCTCCTCCTCCCTCCCACCTCCCCAGTACCCTCCAACTTTTATTTAACTCCCTAAATTTCCACAGGCCCCCTTGCATCAGCCCCTTAGGTAACATACTATAAAGGAAGGTATAGGGGCAAAGAAGAGAGAGAGAGAAGAGGGAGAGAGAAACAAAAAAACAAAAAAAAACCCCGCACAACTCCCCCCAATTTCTCCCTCTAACAAGACTGCCAGTCCTCTTGTCTTATCATTCCTATTTCTCTCTCTTCTTCCTCCCATCCGGCAATCTCCATTCTTTTGGCACTCAAGTTTTTCAACAAAAATCTCTAAAGTTCTTCTGGAAATCTCAGATAAGCTGTAACTCCATCTTTCCATCCAATTAGCCACGCTGGGGTCCCCCATCTAAGAGCACATTCTTTTTCCTCAATCTGCTCTAAGAGGGGTTTCAGGATCTCCTTCTCCACAAAGTCTCTGGTGTGTAATATCTGCAAATATCTGAATATCCATTTCTCCATATCTAATTGACGCTTTTCCTTTGATCTTCCTCCAAATCGCTTCTTTATCCCTATATTTGTTAAAATTTAACAATTATATCCCTTGGTTTCTCCTTCTCAGTGCCTTGTTGGTGCTTTCCTATTCTCATGATAATCGTCCAGAGATCAATCAACTCTAAGGCGGGCGGCCTGTCCATTATGGAGTTTAATATTTTACCTACTAATTCTTGCAGTGCTTCCCCTTTTGTATTCTCTGGACTCCTCTTAGCCTAAGGTTACTCCTGTCCCAATTTTTCTTGTACCTCTATCTTATAATAAATTTTTTCTGTATTTTCCCCATATTCTTTATTTTCTTTTCTAGTTCCCGTGATGCTTTGGGCCTGATTTTTAACTTTCTCCTCTGTTTCTTCCACTCTCACCAACACCTGCCCCAAATCATTTTGGATAGTTGCCATTTCTTGCTTTGTCTACTCTAGTTCTTTAAACATCTCTGCCATTTCTTTTTTATTCGATACTTGTAATTCACTTTCCCTCTCTCTCATCTCCATGGTTCCTATTGTTTGTTGACTACTAATATTTAGACCCAGCGATAGTCTAGGGCTGCTATCCAGACTGATATCCCCTTCAACTTTTCCGTTTATACCTTGGGATCTTTCTGGGGTCATCCTGCTTCTCAGTCACTCCCTGTAAACAGCATGACACATCTTTTTGCTGGTAAAAAAAAGTTCATTTATTATTTAGATTTTTTTTGTAGCCTAGAAAGCATTGCATCCATGATTAGCAGATCGTGGGGTGCCATGCAGGACTCCTGCAGACTTGTCAGTGTATCTGTGTGCTTGTATCTCTTGTTACGAGCAGGCAGATACACACTGACAGGAAGAGACAATGAACTACCACAGCGCTCAACAGCAGCAGTGTGGTAGTTTATTGAGATTTTTGCCAGTGTTCCAACCTCTAAAACAGTGGTTCCCAACCTTCCTAATGCCACAACCCTTTAATACAGTTCCTCATGTTGTGGTTACCCCCAACCATAAAATTATTTTCATTGCTACTTCATAACTGTAATTTTGCTATTTATGAATCCTAATGTAAATATCTGATATGCAGGTTGTTTTATTTTTTACAGTACATGATTTTATGTTTACCCAGTAGATATAATTCATGAAGTGTCATTTTACCTCCAATACAACACAGTATAGCTGCTCTTTACACATGTGTGACTGGTCCACATAAGTACATTATGGCGTCCACCCTGTCACATACACCTGTATGTGATGGGGTTGATGCAATAATGTCATCACGTGTGGGTACTAGTATGTGGGCGTACCCGCCTGGAGACAGATAGAGAAGCGGTGTCTCGGTTCCTAAGATCATTGGAAATATGTATTTTACGATGGTTTTAGGCAACCCCCAGGTTGAGAACTGCTGCTTCCAAAACACAGCTGTATAACTCAACTAAGAAGAATTTCTACAATTCCTCTTTCCCTTCAGTGGACTATAAAGAAATTACATTTTTGTTCTTGGGTTTACATAAACTCTAGTACTTGAAGCCTGACATACATTTCTTGCTTTTGAACTGTGGCATTCTAATGTAATGTATAGTCATGCAGATCAGTTGAAAAGGAAGGTTTCCTACAAGTAGCCTTATCTTTGTTACTTTATTTAAGCCATTTGTCAGGGATATGCTGGTAAAGGTATTGATAAAAAGTCCTATCACAAAAAATTATTAATGTTTTTTTTTTTTTCCTCCCCAGCGTTCACATTTTCGATTGGTGCTCTGCTTGTGTGTGTGTCCATATATACCTATGGATTACCCAGGAAAGATACAACCAAGGTTGAAATACAGGGGCCCAGCAGTACCTCCAACGAAAAATTAATCAACATCTAAGAAAAGAACTTGACTGTGAAGACCATGTAATATATGTATCTATTGATGCTTCAGTCCAGAAGGTCAACAGTGGCCGTTGCAGTAGAGGAGTTACTGCTCAGCTATGGAAAGCACATCTGCCAGTCAATGTAATATATGCAGTGCCATTTTAAGCAAAAGTCAATCAATAGTTTCTCATACTGTATTAAGCAGTTTTGTTTTTGTATATAGTATATTATGATGATCTGACTTGTTAAATCAATGGACTAAACATTCCAGTTTTGAAAGGGAATGAACAGACTATGAAGAAGACAAGTGTTTATAGTCTTGAAAGAACTAAACAATGAGCTATTATGCATTGATTCAGCATAGAACGTCTAGCAGCTGCTTATGAGACTTAGTTGTCCAAAGACTATACTTTCCCTGTTTGTATCTTTTTACGCAGCATTTACCGATGATTAAGCAGTACCACCCTTGGAAGATACCACAGTAATTTATTTTGCACTTTTTAAGTGTTGGTTTTTTATATAGACATGGAAGAGATGAACATGGATTGTTTTTTTTTTTTTTTTTAATAAAACATTTTACTAAAGTGTTGCATAAACTTTTTTTTCAGACAGCACATACACAAGGTCATGTACCCACTATAGTGGTACAGTGAAGGAAATAAGTATTTGATCCCCTGCTGGTTTGAATGTTTGCCCACTCACAAAGAAATGATCAGTCTAAAAATTGAATGGCAGATATAACACAGAGAGACAGAATATCAACAAAAAATTCAAAAGAAATGCATGTCTAACAAATTATGCAATGATTTGCATGTTCGTGAGGAAAATAAGTATTTGATCCCTATCACAAAACATGACATAGTACTTGGTGGCAAATCCCTTGTTGGCAATCAGAGGTCAGATGTTTTCTGTAATTGGCCACCAAGTTTGCACACATTTCAAGTCATTAAAGTTTGGTGGCTGACGTTTGGCAACTCAAACTTTCAGCTCCCTCCACAGATTTTCAATTGGATTTAGGTCTGGAGACTGGCTAGGCCACTCCAGGACCTTAATGTGCTTAATCTTGAGCCACTCCTTTGTTGCCTTGGCCATGTGTTTTGAGTTATTGTCATGCTGGAACACCCATCCACAACCCATTTTCAATGCCATGGCTGAGGGAAGAAGGTTCTCACCCAAGATTTGACAGTACATTGCCCTGTCCATCGTCCCTTTAATGTGGTGCAGTTGTCCTGTCCCCTTAGCAGAAAAACACCCCCAAAGCAGAATGTTTCCACCACGTTTGACAGTTGGGATGGTGTTTGGGTCATAGGCTGCATTCCTTCTCCAAACATGGCAAGTTGAGTTGATGCCAAAGAGCTCGATTTTGTTCTCATCTGACCACAACACTTTCAACCAGTCCTCCTCTGCATCATTCAGATGTTCAGTGGCAAAACCTCAGACGGGCCTGGACATGTGCTTTCTTGAGCAGAGGGATCTTGTGGGCACTGCAGCATTTCAATCCTTGTTGGCATAGTGTGTTACCAATTGTTTTCTTGGTGACCGTGGTCCCAGCTGCATGGAGATCATTGACAAGATCCTCACATGTAGTTCTGGGATGATTCCTTACTGTTCTCATGATCATTGACACTCCACGAGGTGAGATCTTGCATGGTGCACCAGACCTAGGGAGACTGATAGTTGTTTTGTTTCTTCCATTTGCAAATAATTGTACCAACTCTTGTCACCTTCGCACCAAGCTGCTTGGCGATAGTTTGGTAGTCCAGCCTTGTGTAGGTCTACAATCTTGTCCCTGACATCCTTGGACAGCTCTTTGCCATGGTGGATTTTGGAATCTGATGGTTTGATTGCCCCTGTGAACAGATGTCTTTTACACAGGTAACAAAATAAGATTAGCAGCACTCCCTTTAAGAGACTGCTTCTAATCCCAGCTTGTTACCTGTATGAAAGGCACCTGGTAGCCAGAAATCCTGCTGAATGATAGGGGATCAAATACTTATTTCCTTCATGAACATGCAAATCAGTGCAAAATTTTAGACATACATTTCTTTTGAATTTTTTGTTGCTATTCTGTCTCTGTTACAATACACCTAGCATTTGATTTTTTTTTTCTTTGTGAGTGGGCAAACATTCAAAATCAGCAGATCAAATACTTATTTCCTTCACTGTATATGGGTCAGCAACCACAGTTTTCCTGCACAAATGACCATAGAAAAAAAATTCTTTGCAGTGATTATGTCAAACCGCGTGTGTTTAAGCACAGTAATATAATACACAAGTTAGCAGTAGAATCACAAGTTGACTTTGTAGGATAGCTTACCCCCCATACTTTAGCCTCTGGAAGTGCTCTAATATACAAACACCAACAATTTCTGGCTAGCTCCTGCTTTAAATTTTGGGCCAAACTGGCCCAAAATAATAATAATAAAAAAATTTTTTAAATTTAGCTGTGTGTTTCTTGTTACTACTGTAACCTTCCACCAAAGAACAACCCAAAATAAATTTTCCAGCTCTTGACGATTGCAGCGGTATCATATATGTGTGTTATTTGTACCCCCCAGTACAGCCCAGAAACAATAGTGCACATTTTTTTTTTCACCTAAAACACACTGATACCAAAAAACAAAAAAAAAAAAACCCGACTTTGACCCAAACACTAACCCTGGCAGTGAACTAGATGAAATCTTTATCTAGTTATTTTTCTTTTTTTTTTTTTTTTTGTTTAACTCCCCCCTCTATGCAAGAGAGAGAGAGAAAAAAAAACAAGGGGGGCGGGCTGTACAGTGACTGATCACTGTGATGGGCAACCAGAGGCTATCACAGCGATCATGTGACCCGGAATCGGGAGTCCTGGGTCCCGAGCGTTAGAACAGGACCCAGGGCTCTCAGTGACACCCCGGTCTTTGTGCTGGGAACACGCTCCCAGCACAAAGACAGGTACACAAATATGTGGCCCCACAGAAAAATGCCCAGTTCTGTGAGGCTGCATATTTGTGTGACGTCAGCGTGAAGGTTACAGTATAAAAAAAATCATGCCATCTATGAAGGGAGACTAGGGCAATTACTGCTCGGCAAAGCATGTTTTATAGCACCATCGATTTGGATGGGGATAATTTACTTGCTGCATGGGCATCTTATAGTATCTAGTGGGAATTTTGTATTTCAAGTTGCATAATTTCTCCAGTTGGTGTTCTGACAGCTGATGTGGTAGCTTTACCTTTACAGTGATTCTCAGACAAGGGTAATACCCTTTTAACCACCAAATCATGACCTCCAAGAGGGTTAAGTATATGAAAACTTAAACTGTCATTTGACTTGCCAATGAAAGCATTTTGTTTATCTGTTTTAAAAGTGCAAAAGCAAAACCTGTGACTCTTGTCAAAGCTGTTCTGTAAACACTTCCTGGGTGATCTCACAATCCTTATAGGACAGCAAGTCAGTTTTTTGTGTATTGCTTTGGAGATGACTATAGTGGGATGAGTGATTAGTTCAGCAAAAGAAAACTGTGTATGGCTGACACCACTCATTCCACAAAAATACAGTGTTCACACCTTGCAATATGATTTAGAGTGGAATGTATTCCTGGCAGCACAAGTATTTCTCTGTACTTCACGGGTCCTGAAAGGGAAAAAAAATTGCATAATGCGCATGTATTGCAGTGATGTACTGCATATGTTTTTTTTTCCCTTTGTCTTGACATACAGTATGCTTTAACAGAGAATTATAAAGCTGAGTAGTTCTTTACCATTGCTCCTGCTAGGGCCTGTGGTAGTGGATAGAGTGCAGTAGCCACAGGCAGCAAAGCATTGAAAAGGGAAAAAAAAAATACTTTGAAAGCTTTAACACATTTGCAGGTAACATTATTGTAGTTTAAGAACCAATGAGCTATTACTAATAAAATATCAAATGAACAAGCAAAAAAAATAATTTTTTTCAGTTTTATTAAAAATAACCACTACATGGTGTTTAAATTACATTTTATCAACTGGGGTAATTCCCAAAAGTCTCATTCCATTAGCCAAAACTACATGTATACTGTTGAAAAAGAGAAAGCCGAGCCTGTGGAAGGAAAAAAACACAAAAATTATAGCAAATTTGTGTACATAAAAAAACAGAAACAGTTGTAAAATGACTAAACAAATGCACCCCTTGGAATTTTTTTTCTGGCAGTTTTGGGTAAACCATAAAAAAGTTAGACCGTCTGAGAAGTTTTCGTTATTGTGTTCCCCTATCTTACATGGGATCTTTAAAAAACATAACTTTTTCCTGTGCTGCCAAGCAATTAAAAATGAAGCTGCCCACAGCTTGATTGAATTTTGGCCGTTCAGCAGGGACTGGCCGAGATTTGATCCATCTATGAGCAGGCTGAATGATCAACTTGGGTGCAACGATCCTGTTGGCTTCGTAGAATGCAACTTCTGCCTGCGGATATAGTCACTAGCCGTAATCATTGTGTTCTGCCAGTTGGGAAGGCTCCACGCACCCATGGTGGAAGGGAAGACAATCAATGAATCTATGGCTTGCCTTAGAAATTGTCATTTGTTTTCTGTCCCCCTTCAGCCTAGGGCTACACTGGCTATTAGTACAGCCAGTGGATCATGGATGCAATGCCAGGCTCCTACACACACTCTTCCTCCAGCTCCCTGCTGGTACCATAATCAAAAGTGACAGCTCTAGCATTTAAATCTCCTTGCTACTGAAAGTTTCAATGAAGTACTGGAATTATTTTCAATAACTTCACATTGCCTTCAGCGTGATGTAAATAGCAGGATGTCTGAGCAGCAAAGAGACTGAATTGCCAGTGTAGCCCTAGAAGGATTCCTCTTCCTTATTTTGAAGATCTAAAAGAGTGAAGCCCTTAGGGACATGGTAATAATGTTCTAACCCCTTCCTATGGCATCCATAATTAATGAACTACAACCAAAAGGCATCCCAAACCATTTTGAACATAATTTAAATGTATTCTTTTACATTCTCCTCATAGGGGCAACCTTTTACATCTGTATTTTTAAACAC